TTTCTTCTTCAAGAATTGTCTCGAGAAACATGAATATCCCAAAGTATTTTGGAAGCATCTCAGACGAAATCACATATCCCCTAACTCACGTACGCTGAAACGACACACTCTGAATCACATCGATGCAGTGCGATCAAGACTACCTGAGCTAGAGCAGAATATCTCAAAAAGCTCCCACGTTCTCCATGAGTTATCTGAAGACGAGAGAACAGCATTCGAAAACTACTCCAATACGGTTACAAAGAAAAGAACAGATGATGTTATAATGAAACTAAACCAAAGCCTAAAGTCCGTTACAAAAGAAACCGTCTTTCCTACTTGTCCAGAAAAATACGTGTACAATTATTCTGATGTTCAACTATCTCCAATTCAAATGCAAATCTTAGCACTTGGGCCTAAGTTTTGTGATGCAACGTCAAAAGTGAATGAACTCAACACGAAAGTGCAATTTGAGAATTTAATCGACCAGACGAAAGATCTCGTCCCAATCTCATATGAGAATGCAGAACTTTTCAAATCAACCGTTTTAAATTGCTGTCTCGATTATATCAACAAAAAACCCAGCCTCCGTAACGTCCTTTCCAAAGAACATCGAAAGGAGCTGAAAGAACTGAAAGATAATGAAAACTTGATCATCACGCGACCAGATAAAGGCTCCGGAATCGTCCTGATGAACAAATCAGACTACCTAAGCAAACTCTCGATGATACTATCCGATGATAAAAAGTTTCAGAAACAGTCTCCACAGAAAGATCCCACTGAACAGACGGAGCTCCAGCTAACAAAGATATTGAAGAAAATGAAGGACGAATCCATTATCAGTTCAAAGCTATACGAACAACTGCGCCCATCTGGTTCTACAACGCCACGTATGTACGGCTTACCCAAGGTACATAAACAAGACGTCCCACTCCGCCCAATACTAGATATGATAGATTCCCCATATCATACAATCGCGAAATGGCTGGTGGAGATTCTCGGGCCGGTGAAAGAGAAGCTGTCAAGACATAACCTCTGCGACACATTCGACTTTGTTGATTCAATTAAGAATGTCAATGTGGCAGAAAAGAAAATGGTCTCCCTGGATGTCGTGTCTCTCTTCACCAACGTTCCACTGACAGAAACCGTATGTTTCCTTTGTGACTACATTGAATCCAATAACATCAATGTCGATATACCAATTCATTACCTGAAAGAACTGTTACTTCGATGCACCTTCAACGTATACTTTAGTTTCAACAAAGAAATATACAGGCAAGTAGATGGAGTAGCAATGGGTTCTCCCTTAGGACCCCTTCTAGCCGACTGCTTTATGGCTAGCTTAGAGAACAACGCCTTATCAACAACTATCAACGACCTCCATCTCTACAAGAGATACATCGATGACACTTTCATTATTTGTGATGAGAACTGTGATTTAAAAAACCTACTTCAAATTTTCAATAATGCCCACCCAAACATCGACTTCACACTTGAGACTGAATCCGACGGAATGTTCCACTTCCTCGACGTCCATCTGACAAGAAACGCCGACAACTCCCTGAAAAGGTCCATATACAAAAAGCCTACATGGAATGGACAATTCATCAACTTTCAAAGCTTCGTGCCCCTGAGCAGAAAGAGGAACCTGATATACGCTCTTTCCTCGAGGATTCGGAAGATATGCAGCGAGGAAGTGGTTGAAGAAGAACTGCGTAATCTTCGAAAAACCCTGATGGAAAACGGTTTCCCGCCCAGGTTCATAGAAAAGAATCTCAAACCTAAGAAGACTTCTGAACAAGTCCAATCCGTCCCAAAGAAAATGCTTCTGCTTAATCTAGAATTCAAAGGTGAGATTGAAGCAGAAATCCTTCGCAGACGCCTCTCAAAATCGCTGAGGAAAACATACTTCGCCGCTAGCCTACGACTGACGTTTTCCTGCAAGAAACTGTTCAGCCAGAACGCGAAAGACAAGCTGTCGCATTGGGCCACCTCAACGTGCATATACCAGTTTACTTGCTCTTGTGGAGCTGAGTACGTTGGCCGTACCATGCGCCGACTTGAAAAACGCGCTCGTGAACACTATCCAGCCTGGCTAGTAAAAGGAGAACGAAAACGGGTAAATAGTTCGGTGACAGAACACCTGGTGAATTCAGGACATTCAGCGCCTCTCGGAAAATCCTTCAAAATCATTTACAAGATTCGATCAAACCCATCAAAGGGAGTTAAATCAAGACATCTGGGCATAGCCGAGGCGCTAGCTATACAAAAGCTCAAACCCACGCTTTGTATACAAAAGAAATACGTCCAACCCCTGTCCTTGCCATGGCCATCATAAACAAGTAATTTTTAGTAATCACCATCCCATCGCCTTTCTTATCTAAACTTCCTGTTTATTCATGTTATTTCAAGTTTTTCTTAATCCCTGTTTACACTACCATATTTTCTTACCCGAACTTAGTGTTTATTTTGTCATTTTACTATTTCTACACATTTAATCCCTGATTGCATAAACAATTATTCATCACATTAGTTTTTATCCAAACATCCTGTCTATTTTGTTATTGCTACATTTCTAACCCCTAATTGCACAATGTCAGTCTTCTTAGTTATTTTAATGCTATTTTGTTTGTTTTATCCATCCCCCTGTTTATTATGGCATTCTAATTCCCAATTTTAATTTTTATTAATTTGACCCTTGACCGGATATTATTCTGGAACTTTCCCATCCATTTGATATAAATACACGAATGTACAGCCTAGATGATGACTTCGTCGAAAAGAAAATTTTCTTCGCTGCAACTGTCTTCTTATTTACTCCTATGACCCAATGTGTATATTCCGTGAGTAAAAGAAGTGTAAGAGATAGCGGGATTGAAACGTAACTAACACCATTCTACTCATGCCAAGTAGTTTTGCTGATGAATCTTTTTAGGAAGACGTGTTAAAAGGCTGTTTACAATCACCATAAATCCAGCTGTAGGTGTCGCTACTCATAATTCACCCTTCAGTCCACCGTACTCACAACCAGACACTTGGGTCCCCTGCGCCTCTGTTATTCAGTATTTTCCAGAGATTTTCAAGCCAGATATTTGACCATAATGCAGGTGTTTTACTGAATACGGCGGCCGAAGCCTTTCAGTCCTGTGGTGCAACCCACAATTCCATCTCATTGTTATGTTTTCATTCGTAATTTCAAGATCGTGAGGCTTCGACTAGTCGTTTCAAGGATCAACCATAGTGTAAATAGGGCATTCAAAAGCAATTATATTACTTACTTTATACAAAACGTTTACTTGAAACTGCCTGTCATCTTGTAAATATTGACTGTCAGCCCCTTATAATACACTGAATATAGTCAACTGAGTGTTATGTGCGTCGGTAGCACAGTGGTTAGGACTCTCACCGACCATGCACATGGTCCGAGGTTCGATCCCCTGCCGGCGCACACCTGATATCTATGGTCGGCCTGCAAAATTTGGGCTACCGATATCTATGCTGAAAATTCCATACTTGTACCAAAAATACAGTGTGGAATCAAGCTGTAAATCAAAATAAAAAAATAAAATAAAAATGAGCCTCCTTCCGTCACGAATACCGCTAGTCTAATTAATACCATCTCGTTTATTCAAATTCTACACATGTCTAATACCAATCAAAAGATGGCTTCTCATATATCCTATTATCACCTTCCACTGGCTCCCAAACAAAAGAATGGAGTCAGTGCTAAACTTCCAAACAGGATTCTGTATATGTAAGAAATCCAGCCCAGAGCTCACGCAGCAGAAAAAGTGTGATGTCTCTCATATGTAGTACTTGCCCTTATGATGCACTGTTATATTCAATTAAAGTTGAATTTCACAGCTGTATGAGCCTTGAAGTACCTAAAGTAGAAAACTGCCACAAATTATATAATCACTTCAGCAGTGTAAATGTTGATACTTGTTCTCGGTTAACGTGTGTAACCAGGTGAAATTATTAAATAGGGTGACTGTTAGAGCTGCATGAACACTTATTTGCACAAGTTAACAGCATATATGCATATATCTTTGGTGGACCACTGAGGAACAAATTTAGAAACTTAACAACATATTCGGGAAAAATTACGACTGCATGACTTCAGGGCTTTATGTATCTCAAGTGGCATCAAGAACACGAGTTTTAAGCGTGAAACGATATATCTTTCCATCTTTCAAACTATTAGCTATTTGTCCGCCCCTCCTTTACATGACAGAGGAAAGTAGGCTATGTCGAAGTGTGACAAATAATCATCCATAACTTTATGACTCTTGAATTAAAGTGGCGTATGCAGCACTTTGAAAATCTGAATTAATTCCAGCAGGCTATTTTGATGGCATGCAGACACTTTAGTATAGATCCAGTTATTTCAGTTTTACTCGCCCTAAAAGGCTGCAGAGTAAGCTCTCGGCTATAGGTTCTATATTTGAAAAACTAAATAGAAAGTCAACACAAGGGTGTCTAGTAGTCATTTGTGGGATGTATACACTTATTCTATGAGGTGAGCTTAAAACCTTGGGACCAGCTATTGAAGGCAGACAAATTAGTACTTGTGATGCAACTTTACTTGAGTTATTTTAAAGTCTGGGGATTTTTGGATGCGTGTGCAGTTGGTGGTAAGCTATTTCTCCCGCTTGAAATACACATTCTCGGCAACATCTCAACATGCAGTGCTCATGTATTTCATTGTAATCGATACTAGGGTGTTCGACTGTAGTTAGAAAATCATCCCAATGAAAGTTACTATTTTTAAATCTGTGTTTCTTCCATTATGACAGTTCCTGTTCACGTACAATATTAGTATACTGCTGTCTGGCATAGCCAACAAATACTATATGACATGTTTCATTATGATAACTAAAATTAGTGGTGTTATTACGATTAGTAAGATTTACTGTGCCCGTAGTTCATATTCTTATGTACTTTATAAAACGGGAAGTCAATATGTGAAATCACCGTTGTTTAACTGCTCTACACGCATCAACTTTTAAGGTCATATTTGAGACTAGGTCATTTTGTATAAGCGCGATGGTGGAGGTTTTATGGAGTTATGCCGCTTCTCTGCATTAAAAGTAAGTGTTGTATCCCAAATTATACACTCGAAACATCTACAAATAAAAAGGACTATTCTCTAAATTTTTATGCTTGTATTTGGCTTTTTGGTTAATTGTCTGTTTCACTTTAAAGTGGAAGCAATTACGCAATTGTGTAATTACTGATAGTTAATATTACTCATTAAATAACTGCATGTAAATCATACATGACATATCAAAAACCTTATATTTTTCAAATAAATTGAGCAACCATTCACCTACACTCATGTATTCAACTTTAACTTATTCATTTTGTCCTACAGTTAGTTTTTAACACTGCACTGTCAGTTCTGCGTTCTCAGGGATATATTTGCCATTCTTTTTTAGATCAATGTTTACTTTGATATGCTAGTTTGGTTACAGTGCAAAGGTCGCAAGCTAAATCAACCGTTCGAGTTTTTCTATGTAATTGTAGAAAGAAGGAAATGATTTTATTTTGTGCCGAGAAATCAGAATGGATGCAGTTATTTTTAACTGAGAAACAACTTTTGGCATCAAAAATCTTTATTTAAGTTTTTTGTTCGCCAGCAATACTTAACTTGAAATACATGCTGCTATTCAAATCAGTAATAGTTTGAATAAGACCAGACACTTTGACTAAGGTCATTCCGTAGCAGTTCCAGTCTTTTTGTGATTCATTCTGCACCAGGACGTAGATAACGAAATATACCTGGTTAATTTTGCCAGGAATATCTGCATGGACTTGAGGTATAACTGTTTAAAATAGTTCAGTTGTATCAAATTTCATTTCTTGCTATGATGTTTCATTGCCCAACACTACAAAATCTTCGTGTCGTGTTTGCAAGTGAATATCGTATAACTGTACTGTTTCTTCAATGATTACTCCACCTGAAAATTGTTTCAACTTTCAGTTGTATTTCAAACTGGAAATTTTATTCTCACTGATTGTCAAGAAGTATAATTGAGGTTGAATTATTTAACTATATCACTTAACATTTCCTCTTGAAAGCTAAGTGGTTTCAGATATATTAAACGGTTTTAATTCACTTCTTGGGTTTCGCATAACCGATAAACCATCCTAGACAAAATACTTTGCTAGTAGGAGGTCATTTCCGGCAAATCTCTCCAGAAAACTGCCACACAAAATCCAAAAGGCTGTACTGATTCTTGTCGGAAAGAAAATCTACCGACCAGGGTGCATGGGGCTCAACAGGTTCAAGTGAAAAATTTTTCACTACTTTGGAGATGGCTGAAGCACTCATTTCAGGCCTTGATAGACAGCTAAACATAAGTGTGGGTATTACTGGTGTAGACTGAGAAGACGACATTGTTATTTTACCAGGAGAAGACCTAATGACTACGCTCCAAACAAATCCCGCAGTGGTACTAGGGAATTTGCAGAGACTCACGCCTAGATAGTCCCCAGTTTGTGACGACAATAGACTGCCTGTTCTGAAATAGTGTGCGAAAGCTCCCTGTAGGCCCTAATGTGACCTTTTCCAGCACTCACTGGGTCCAGGGAAACTGTCATGTTTGGGGATAGGGAAAATGTCACCAGTTAGAGACCAGTAGTACTAACACGAATGGTACCAAAAATACTATAAAGTCCGACTGATGGTCTCACTAGGCAACACCTTAACAGAACTAACATATTCCATTAAGCAAAACCTGGTTTCAGGAGAGGTGGATTCTGTGTGATAAACCTACCACAAGCTTGGAATGACTGAACACCATGCTGGAACATGAGCGTTTCAGTCCATGTGATCTTTGTAGACTTTCAAACGGCATTCCACACAGTTTAACATGACCTTCTTGTACAGAATAAGTCAGTCAGTTATGGGTGGGTCGCCTCTGTCATGGTTGGAGGACTACCTAGAAGAAAGGGAATTCCGCACCGTGATCAGTTGCATCCGATCGTCCTGACACAGTTCGGCATCAAGAGTAAAGCAAGGCTCTATCTTAGGGCTACTAATGTTTCTGATTTTTAACAGCAACTTGTCATGCCATCTAAACTGCCCAGCTCTTCTTTGCGCCGACGACGTGGGGATTTGGAGGGCAATAAAATGCCGAGAAGACTCTGATAGGCTACAGACAGACCTATAAATTCCAAAAGACAGAGAGATAGTCAATACTACGACTTTCATCTTAAAAAAGTGCAAATTAGTGCAATTACGCACCTTTAAGCTGAAAATGTAAGTCACTCCCTGTGTAACGGCAACTTGTCTTGCACAACGTTTGAGAGTGACTTAAGTCTAGTTTCCACAGAAAAAGTGGACAAAAAGTGTTAGTTACACGAGCGACGTAGAGGGAGCATCAGCGGTAATACGCTTGACATATACAGTTAGGTTCGCTCACCCATGACCTTCTTTAAAGGTTGAACAAAATATACGTAAATCTATACCTTGAAATGCGCAATATCGTTTCTTCGCCTCTACTTAGAAGAGACGCTAAATTTTTGGAAAGAGTCCGAAGACGATCGAAAAAAGGGTTGATGGGTCTCAGAAATAAACAAAATGATGAACGAACAAACAAATTAAGTCTTTTAACACTTAGCTACCGTCAGTTTAGAGGTCACACAGAAGGATAGGCAACCAGAGACTAAAGACTCGAGTGCACTCCCATTTCTTTTTTCTTTGATTTTACCGCCACTGGAACTCTCTACCAATAAATGCGGCACTGTCCGTGAAAAGCTTTAAGTGGAGACTGAATAGTCACGTTGGGATACAAGGACGGCGTCCAAATAGCCTATGCTCTTAATAATTACATATTATTAATGAGTGTAAACTTAAAATCATCACTTTTTACTATATATATATATATATATATATATATATATCAATTTCAAATTTCATTAGCTATGTTTTTACGTTTTCTTTTTTAAGTCTGCATAATATACACCAATTATATCTATTGTTTTTACTACTATTATCTCTGTCTTTGACCACACAAAGGAGTAATAGGTGAAAGAATTAACTCCATCCACAGTAGCAACTAAGTCTTAACACACCGTATACGGGAAACCACAGGTAAACAATCCCAGCACCACTTCTTTTGTAGTCAACTAAAGCTACAACATTTGAGTGACTGGATTTATTAAGCAGAAGTTTACCGAGGACCTGGAATCTTTACTTCACAACCAAGAGATGGGATAGAAAAAAATCAATTTATTTTACATCAGCCAGCAAAAACGATACTGGATATTGGAACTTAAGAGCTATAAAGTGAACGATACATAGTTATCCACATTTTTTACAGCTGCTTATTTTCATTCTGACGTAATTAGTTCATTCAAGCAGGTGTTTTCAAAATCACGAATTCTGTGTGCCTACGGACTTAGATAAGCCGATATGTAGAGATAGAATAAAGGCAATCAGTATTGTAGGCTTAATTATCTGTGTAGAATGCGGTAACACTGACTTCTGCCGTTGGCTGGAAAAAGTTATTTTATCCAAGATTTATTGAGAATACAATTTTACTCATAGGATTGTTACTCAGCGTTGTCATTGATTTTACCGTAGGCCACCGAAAAACAGAGTAGAGGAGACGTTTTAAGTTTAAAATCCCAATATTTTCTTTGCCTATGAAAGAGAGCTTTTAGAACACCTGTCTTAAATGTATAAACTTATACTTTATAAGTTGTTAGGTTTTCACCCTTGCTTCCTTTGTAGCACGGTATAATCAGTGTGGGAACTGAACTAACTGTTTTACAGACAATCTCTATTCCACCCGGGAACAGTGAGCTTTCTAGAATTTGTGTACGCCTAATTATATGTTGTATTATGAGTGGGAATGATTTTTATTTTTCATATTTTATAGTTATTGAGGCGCGTCTTGAAAGTTCGGACTCGTCACTGAACACATATGTCAGCGTTAAGTTAAGGCAAGCTCATTCTTTAACTCAAACAGTGAAAGGAACAACACCGAAATGGAACGAAGAATTTACATTGTAAGTATTTCTTATTAGTATTTCATGAGCATAATGCTGCGTTATACAGGAATATATTTATTTTTCAACAGGGTAGTACAGAAGTTCTTACTTAATAGTAAAATTTAGCATACACAAATGTTTTGTTTTTCCGTTTTAGAAATCTAATTTATTTTCTCTTGAACTGGTTAATGAACTCGCCTGACCTGATGGATGTTATCGGTTGACAGCTGTTTTAATTTGTTCGTTGTGTTGTTCTGGTATTAACTACTTTATAGATAACATAACTTCCTATGAACAACTATTAGATGCATGATCGCTTTACTCCTTAGTGTACCTCTGAAGTATGTAAGTGACAGATAGGTCATAAATGAAATGAAATATACTTACCTGACCGGCGTCTCTTCTCTTGGTTATCAAGAATTATGTAGTCCTGGGTGAACCGGTCAGTCCGACCATCTGTATTTTGTGGAGTGGTGGTTACTGATAAGTGATAGTAATTCCTGATGTTCTGTCTACTGGTGCTCATTAGCAAGGCGTGCCTGCAGCCTTGAAGGATATTTTGTCCATTCTGAGATTCCAACCAGCCGCTTTCGGAATCGTTACCACTGGGCTATTTTGATTCACGATTCATCTCCTGTGGGACTGTAATGAAAGCATTAGTTGGCGTATTTAGCGTTTAAGCAGTGTCGTGTGTCCAGTCTTTGATGTCGGTGCTGACCGAATTATATCCCATAAGGAACATCAGTTCAAGGCTTCCTGCTGATATCGTTAAATCACCTAATCTCATTTCAAAGTGCACTGCGCCAGTCGTCACCTAACTTGGTAATAACTTTGAAAACTTGACTGATAAGATTCAGTTAGAACCAACACCAAGCACTGTACACGTGATACTGTTTATATTCTGTTGGGGTAAGCAGAAAACAGTTTTATAGTGAAGAGTAAACAAAATTGTTGATAGCATAGGGCGTCAAAAATTGCCAAATGACATACACCTTTTATGGTAAATTATTTTATGTTTTCGTTTTTTTATGTATTTTGTTTTGCCTCAGCGAAACAGATCGTATGGATGGTGGCCTCCTGATCGAATTGCACTCCAAAGGTTTATTATGGGACAAACTACTTGGAGTTGTGTGGCTACCTTTAAACAAAATACTGCATTCCAATAAGGTTAGTTGTCTTTTAGTCTTTAATTCACAGCATCATTTCGTTAATCAATTAATTTGTCGTTCATTTAAACAAGTTAATTTCTACATTTGGTTCCCTTGATAAATTTCGATAAAGAAAGGAAGACGAAATTTGCAGTATAAAATGATATCATTCTATTTCACAGGTTCTCATCAGCTGCAGACTACCTGAAATTACAATGGTTATATAGATGATAATAACATACTTTAATGTTCGAGTGGTGGTAGAAAAGAGATACTATAAAATTGACGCATCTAAATGAAAGCATTACAATGTTTTTAGTTTAAGTTTTCATCATCAATTTATACGCTTTTAAAGTTGAAAAGAGGGGGAGGGGTAAGACAGAAAACAGAAAAAATTGATTAACAGAACAGTGTTAGCTTGTAGGTTCACATAGCAACTCAAGAAACAAAAACGGTTACAGTTTATGAGATTAAGATTTGTTCAGTGAGTTGAGATCACTGAATTAGATGACTAATCAAAATCAAAATTCTGTTACCAAGGGAGTGAGAGGTTAATCACACTCTCTTTCTGTATGCATAAGTCTGGTTTAAGTCTTTTGATTGCGATTGCTTCGGCAAATCGTAGTAAATTTGCTGTCCTTTGTCTATTTAATATTTTGAAGGACTTAGAAATCTCTACGAGATGTCCGGTATCAATAATGTGTCTGGTAATTGCACTCTGGGAATATCTGCTTCCTTTCAGGCACAGGTTTTTGGGAATATGTTCAGAAAACCGGATAGAAGCCCTTCTTTCTGTCCTTCCAATGTACTTGCTCCCGCAAGTGCACGTGAATTCATAAACGCAGTTGGAGGTGACATCAGCAGGGTATTTATCCAGTTTTGAGTGGATTAAAGAAGGAGTGGTGCTGTATACTGTTATGAGTTTTGCTGCTGGGAAGCTTCTATTTATTGCACCTTTCAGTCTTTTGTCAATCTTTTGTGACACTGCATCTCCTTTGTATGGTAGACAGATAAACACTTTTTTCTTTTCTACAGTTGGATGCTTTTCTTTCTCATCTTTTTCTCTGCTGTACTTCTGAATAAATCCCTTAGGGTATCCATTTTCCCTTAGGCATTTCTCGACGAAAACTAATTCTTCTTCGACCCTGTTTGGTGAACATAGCTTCCTGGCTCTGTCATACAAAGTCCTCACTAATCCACGTTTATAGCTTATGGGACAAAAGCTGTTATAGTGAAGATATTGTCCAGTCCAGGTTTCTTTTCTATAGATGGACTTTTCGACCGTGCCTTCGTTTGTTCTTTTTACATTTAGATCCAGGAAATTGAACTCATTATTATGTTCATATTCCATGGTGAATTTGATATTTGGATGTATCTCATTTAGGCGATCATATAGTGCCGATGCGTGATCCATATCGTTGCAAACAACAAATGTGTCATCAACATATCGGCGATAGTAGGTAGTTCCATTGATAGCAGAACTTAGTTGTGTCTGCTCAAGGTAGCCCATGAAGATATCAGCCAGGATAGGTCCCAGAGGCGAACCCATCGCGACCCCATCGGTTTGTCGGTAAAGTTGATTGTTGAATTTGAATTGTATATCTTTTGTGCAGAGCAGTAGAAGTCGCTTCATCTCTGTTTCCGGTAATGGTAGTAGATCCGTTTGTTTACAAATTATATCAATTGTTTCCATCAGTGGTACATTTGTAAACAAGGAGGTCACGTCATACGATACCATGAGTTTGTCTGATATGTCGATATTGTCAACTTCCTTGGAAAATTGATAACTATCCTTCAGGCTGTGGGTTGCAAATTTAATTCGAATGGGCTCTATAGAATCAGCTAACCATCGAGCTAGCTTGTGGCATGGTGAGTCAATCATTGACAGGATTGGTCTTAATGGCACATTTGCTTTATGAATTTTTGGTAGGCCGTACATAGACGGCAGGCGTCCACCTTTTGACTTCAGTTTATTATATGTTTCGCTGTTGATTAGTTTCTTCATTAGAAGTTCTTTGAGACATTTATTAACTTTATTTTCAAATGACGTTGTGGCATCTTTTTTGTTGTCTACTTGGAATTTTTCTTTGTCGTTTAGAATTGTCATCATTTTATGTATATAATCAGCTTTGTTCATTATAACAACCCCAGAGCCTTTGTCAGGTCTAAATATGACGATTTCATCGTTTTCATATAGTTTCTTCAGAGCTATTCTATGCTCTTCGGTCAGCATCTTCTGCTTCTCCATTGGTGATATGTGGTATTGGTTAGCAATATCAACAAGTTTAGACTTTAGCCATCCTCTTTTATCTTCGTCTAAGGGCTTCAGGTCGTAGAGTTGATGGTATAAGTGCTCGAATTGTGCTTCTGTGTCTATACGACTGATGTGCTTCTTGGGGACGTGAAACTTGAATCCTAGAGATAAGGCTTCTAATTCGATTTTGTTTAATTGTAATTTTGATAGGTTACAAACGTAGCGTTCAGGTGCTTCTGGGAATTCTTCAATTAGCTTCTCTTTCACCAACGCTTTTGTCAGCTGAGTTTCATAATCCTCGGATGTTTTTGATTGTAGCTCTTTGATAAAGTTCATGAATTTAAGCCAGCAGATAATATTAAGCTCACTTAGTAGGGTATCATAGGTAGCCAGACGAGATTTCAATTCGGAGATATACTGGTATGACGATTCGATGTGAGATTTAGTTATTCGACGGAGATTCTTTTGAGAAGGTGGGAGTTTAGTGGATCGCACTTGTTTCAGGAACTGCCGTGGGAAACAACCAGTTTGCAAACACTGTTCATAGAACCTGATCTTTGTTGATTCTCTAGATATTCTGCATCGTATGGTCACCACCTGATTCAGTGACTTAATAGTTGGGGCAGGGAGGCGTCTTTTCAAAAAATTCATACATTTGGTTCCCTTGATAAATTTCGATAAAGAAAGGAAGACGAAATTTGCAGTATAAAATGATATCATTCTATTTCACAGGTTCTCATCAGCTGCAGACTACTTTAATGTTTGAGTGGTGGTAGAAAAGAGATACTATAAAATTGACGCATCTAAATGAAAGCATTACAATTACCACCACTCGAACATTAAAGTATGTTATTATCATCTATATAACCATTGTAATTTCAGGTAGTCTGCAGCTGATGAGAACCTGTGAAATAGAATGATATCATTTTATACTGCAAATTTCGTCTTCCTTTCTTTATCGAAAGTTAATTTCTGTTTAATAAACCCACTGGATTTTTAAAATGTATATAATATAGTTCTGTCAGACGTGATGATTTGTTTCAGTGGAGTTACTTTTTGTTAGAACTCCACTTGTGAAATATTTCAATTTGTCATCGACACAAACCTTATAATTTACATTATTTATATATTTATCTTTGAAATAATGGGTGATGGCTAAAATTTTAATGAAAATCTAGGCTGAAGCGTAATTCGAACTGAAATCCCGCTACTTTGTCTGCTGAACTAGGGGACTAAACTGCTAATCAGGTCATCATTTAGCTACAATGGATAAGGATTTGAAAATATCTCTTAGTTCAGTTGTAGAGTTTTGGGCTAGGAACCTGGAGATTTCGGTTTTTCTCACTCCCATCGCAACACTGGTTTTACTTTCATCTTCAGCGGTTATCATTTATTTTATTGACACCAGTTTCCCAATCCAATACCTCACCAGTATTGGTTTGTAGGGATTTGGTTAGTTACAGGATTTCATCATGACCTGACATTGGTTAGAGAACTATTGGAAAACCTGAGAGTACTAGACAGCTGTTTCGTCCTAGCTTGGGAATTTTCATCAGTAGGGTGCATCTGGTCGGGTTTGAGGACAAATACTCGCTGAAGACATTGGCTAGCGGTTGCGCTATATCGTGAATTGGCAGAAGTTGGAATTCATAGGCCATTAGATCGGGTCCCAGTGGCTTAATGGTCTACGGCTCGCTGGTCTTGTAACCAGAAGGTCCTGGCTTAGACCCCGGGGGTGCGTAATCAGTTCTTACTGAACTAAGAACACACTGTTGACCTTTGTGTTTATAGGTAGAAATAGTAATCTGTCTCAAGTTAAAAAAATGAATTCCTCATTTAAAAATCTTTGGTGTAGTATAGTCTGGTTTCTCAGGATCTACAAAGAAATTGTTACCTTAGATAATGCAAACGCTTTATCTAAATTTATCAAGGGAACTATTTTGTACAAATTTTCAGGTGTTGGTTTGCAGCCAGTTGATTGATTTTAATTTTGATCATGAAGTAACTTAAGTTAAAAAGCCATTGAAAACCAGGGATATTGAACCAAAGTTTCGTCTTAGTTGGGGACTTTTCAGTCCTAATTACTCGTGATCAGCAGGATCCATCAATTTGGGCGTGAAGATAAATACTCTCCGATAACATTGGCTGGATGTCTCACTGTATATAGCGAATCGATAGAAGTTAGCATCCATGGATCTTTGGATTTCTTCCTAGTGGCTAAATAGCCCACGAACTAGCCTTGTAACCTAATGGTCCTGGATTCGATCCCTGTCAGGGTGATAAGTGAGTATTGATGCAGTGTTCCAAACAGGGAAGAAATGACTGTCTACTACTCCTTGGTTTACAGTGGTTCTCTAGCTGAAATCGATCCGTAATCAGAAGTGTATAAATTATCACTGATCAAAAAAGAGAGACATTAAGAACTACCTTAAGTATTGGTTAACACTAAACTTTCCAGAGGGCATTCCCTTCTTTCTAAGTTTAGTTAGTTGAATGTAGTCTTGTCTTATCAAAGACTGTCAGTTTTAATCAACGGTATACATTTTCTCCATTTATTATTTTGTGGGCAGCAAGGTTTGCATTCGTAATTCAGCGGTAGAACGCTGTCCAACCACCCGCGTAGTGCGAGGTTCGATCCTTGACCGACGCACTCTTATACCTCAATAAGTTGGCAGTAAGGCCTGTAAAGACAGAAGTTTGCAAGTGGCGCTATCAATCCCACCCTGTAAAAAAGAAAAGCGCCCCTGCTACTGGAACTTCAAAGC